ACAGGGAGCGCGCATAGGAACGAGTTACCCTCGAAATCGCAATTAGATTATCGCGGTAGAACGAAATTCGATGTGACAAGCGAAATTCTAATCTATCAATGACGCTCGCCGAATGCCGGAGAGAAAAATGCCCGTTGTAGAAGAGTAAACCGAGAACAATTTATATAACCTAACAAGAGACCAAAGAATACACGAAAGGCGAAACTCAACGAAAGCAACGTTAAAAATCTTTGATACTTTCCAAACCTATTTCTTTTTCTTGCTCGTATTCCGCCGCATTTGCTCTTCTTTCTATTTTCGCTCTTTGGTTTCAATCCCGTACTAATAGCCTTACGCTTGAACCACTTTGTTACGCAACATGCTGAACAAACATTAAACCACGCCCGTCGTGTTACGCGAATCGCATAAATCGAATTACTATGCCTCTCAACTGACCTTACTCCCAATATTTTCAGCGAGCATCTTGGCAGCCTCGAGAAAGCTAGGTTTCTTCGTAACAGGTCGATACCTTAAAATCTATTCCTTCTCTTCTGCACTTGGCAAATTCCTATCGGTAACGAATAAAAGCTTGAACACGGGTTTCAAAGTAAATCATCGAGAGACAATATCCAACGGAGAGATAGCCAGCTTACGTTCGATTATTTTTGCAAAAGTTCAAAAGACTCTTCCTGCGAAACAATTTACACTCGAATAGGCGAATGAATTCTCAACTGGTAGAATTGAATCGAAATGGCTGTAACTATTCGAATACTATTAATTAGCTCTAGCTATAGCGTATTCGAGTTTCGAGTAAATAAATTTTCACCGTTTAATACGTCGTAAAATGAAAGTTGAACCTAGCAACTGTTAAACCTATTTCGTATTCATTTCTCTACGATGGAAATCGAACGAATGTTATCCTTGGATCAAGCAGCGGATATTTCGCTCTACCAGTGGAGGATTAATTCCGTTCGCAGCGTTTCGTCGTGCACCGTGCTTCACTTTCGTCCACTGCAGCAACCTTTTCATATTTTCATCGATAGTCACAAGTTTGTTCTCATCATTCGTACATAGTTAACGAACGTGAAACTGACATCCAACGAGCGCGATTCGAGGCGAAACGATATATTGTAAATAAATCAGGTGATAAAAAAATCGAAGAGAGAGGGAAGAGTGAGAAAGCGTTGTAAATGAAAGAAGACAAATGTGAGAGTGAGTCTGAGGGAGAAAATGCAGATTCAATAGGGGACAAAAAGGGAGTGTACGTGAGTATGAGTGTATTAATAAGTTACGACACACAATCGTATTACATGCGTTAGAATTGGAGAATTGCTCGTACTGACTGTCGAGAAAAGGATATATTAACGGGACGTAAGCGTATCCTCGCGCTCGTGTCGTTTAGATAAAAAAAAAGGATCTAAAATGAAGTAAGAAAGAAAAAGAGAGAAAGAGTGACGGTGAGAAGGAAAGAAAGAAAGGAGTAAATAAAACAGAAGCTCTCCTAGTTACTTGCTCATTGAAATAATATTCTAAATAACGTTCGTAACGGAATAAAAGTCTAAATACGCATCAGTATAATGAGAAATAATTTTACGTACATGTAAGTAAGAATTACGCGCGCGCGGCTGCAGTCATGCGCGCGCACATGCGCGCCATTTCTTTTTCCTTTCGCGTTTTGAATGCCCAACCTTTCCGATGATCCATATCGATCTCGAATCTCCGTGACTTGTTCCGTAAAACCGTAGATAATATTGAAAGGTTGTAATATTTTAACGATATTTTCAAGTAATAGTTATTACTGAAAACAGAGAGACAGAGAGAGAAAGAAAGAGAGAGAGAGAGAGAGAGAGAGAGAGAAGAAGCGAAAGAGAGAATGCGAGAAAGAGAGAGAGAGATATATATGACCCTTTCCTCCTTTTATTAATATTTATAAGTTGATGCTTCCTAGCGAAAGAGTATTAATATAGTGGGACGATGGAACTTCAACGTAATAGAAACTGTTAAAAAGATATTATAGATATTGAGAGTAGACTATAGAATCACTTTGCAACATTGGTGCTTTTTACCTACAACAAAAAAGAACACATTTAGATTCCGCACTAAAAACACAATCCATACTGTTTCCAACAATTACGCACGGTATGTTTTTAATTCAGATAATAAGTACGCGAAAAATAAGAAATGCTCTGTTAATTGACGACCCACTGTATTACGATGCAGTTTATTTCTCGAAATTGCATAATTGTTTGTAAATCCATTAAAGATGAAAAAGAGATAGCTTTCAGTAAATAAATATACACAAAATGGTTCATAACATGTTTTATAAATTGCGTTTGTATAAATGAACTAATGAAATATATTCGACAGATATGCGGTGTCGTGCGCATGCCTGTCCGCCGCTCTGCGTTCACGAAGGATCACGATTTCTATATATTAAGGTCGATCGCTGTGTGCTGTACAATTTAACAGTGAGCATGTACGGCCTGTGAAAAATTACAAGCTTGTAGCAGAAAAACAAAGAGAAAAATATATAGCAACAGAAAAAGAAAAGAGATGCACCCGAAACCACCTGCAGCATAACCATCTTTTAATGGCGGCGAATATAACATACACTGTTACGTAACGAGTATAACGCAAAAGAAAATCGTATCGTTGCATGATCGATATACCTAAATGAAACTATTACTACGTGATACGACATTACTATGTAAAAGTTTTTATTGCGTGAGTAAAATTATGTTATGGATGAAAATGTGTACCTTGTAAATAATAAATCTCGTCCTTTTCTTCGTGCATCGAACACACTACCGGCCAAACAATGTCCTTTCACACACGTTTCGATCGGAATTCGACAACGATCGACTATCTCACATCACCCGTGATCATCTGGGTTTTACCTACAAATAACGTTTAACTATCACATTCTTATCACTTATTAGTTCATCGGAGTACACTTTTTATAAAAGAAACTTTATTATTTAACACAGAAAAATAGAAAAAAATGTGCAGCGCAATTTGAACGTATCATACGTCACGTACAAATGGCGTCACAAAATGTTTCCTTTACGGTCACGTGACCGCAAAATCCTGTTATATCTGTTGCAGGTATCTGCAGTGCTAACAAGTATTCATTCCTACCGATAGATGGCAAATTTGAAGCTAATATGACCATTACATTGGACACACGTATTGTTAAATTCATTAAAAAGAAATCGATTTCCTTTTATTTCACGATAAATCATATATCATCTCTAAGTACATGCATTTTTTATTTATCGGAATACATTAATATATAAAAATCATAAAAAATAAAAGAATATTTAAATCTTTAGATTTTCTCAGAAACTACTTTCGAAAACTATATTTTAGGAACACGTACACCTATATGAGACTAAATTTTTAATTTATTAATGTTGTATACAAAATAAAATAGATGTATGTGCAAAATAGGGATTGCGCAACTACGAAAATGCATATATTTAGTATCTATGTATACATCTCACTTAACTACAAAGGACTCAAACCCAGTATAAATTTTAAAACAATTATTCTCAATTAAATTGTGAAATGATAGATTCATCGATTTGTTGAAGTGTGTCTTTAAATACTGAAATTATTTGTGTTATAACACAGCAAAATAGTATTGTTTCATAATAGTTCAGAAATAAAGTGTTAAAGTCTACCTAACCTTCTTCTATTCCCTATTTTCTACAACACTCTACACACGAAAGTATGTGCACTGCAATTACGTTAATAACCTAACCTATTTTTTTACTGTCGTTTCTACAAATGTATAAACACTGTATACATCCTTATTTTCGTTTGCTTTGCTTTCGTAAAATAAAATCAAGGTTAAGGACATTCACTCGAATATTCTCGTATTTCTCGTAATTTTCTAGTATTTTTATGTTTGTCTCTCTAGAGATAATGTACTATTCGTTTTACTCCATAAATTGTTTGGATACGAAATTTTACTAATTACACAATGAAAATTTTGTTACAACTAGTTTTACAAAGCAAAAACAAAAATAAGTATTATAAATAAAGTGAATTATTATGTGAATACCATTTTTAATATGACTAAGCAAACACAGTATCATTGATCATTCCTGACAAACTCCTGCTCATTTTCTTAAATTATGTAAAAACATATTATTTCAAGAAAATATATTGTGGAACTATGTAGAAAAAATATCGATTTGCCTCCGTTTTGTATATTCTACAAGTATATTATTAAATCACGTTTGTTCTGAAACAAAATTATTAATAAGATTTCGATTTTATGAAGAATTTATAACGTAATACAAAATATGAAATGACTATTATGTTGTAGAAAAAGTATAGATATAAATTTTTAAATATATACATAAAATCAATGAATTTAATTCAGTAATAAAATTATTAGAAATGTGATATTTAATAGCAGTTTCATAATTTTATCTTTTTATATTAAATATTCAGAATATTTTTGTTCACGACAAAAATACATATAATTTAACATGTGTTTCATGAAAAATACCTTCTAGAATTGTAAACGAAAATTGTACCAAATTTTATGCAAGATTCCATAAATATGAAAGAATACTACGTACATAGTATTAAACAGCATTACACTCGTAGTATCGTGTGCATATATACACAGGTCATTGTACAAATTTTTGGTGTCTGTCTCATAAGCTTCTCTCAATTCTCAGCTCCGAGGTATCGCGATGTTTCTAGACATGTGCAACTATGTCGTCATTTCCGATTACTACGTAAGTGCATTTGGAAGATATTACTTTTGTCGCATTTTTCATGTGAATAGCTTGAATTTCATTTGTTGAATATATTTAAAATTAATTTTATAAATATTGAAACTATTTTCTTTTAAATATTACTCCAAAAATTATTAATAAGTATTGGTTATAACAGCGTACTTGATAGAATGTTCTAGAAATCGGGCGGGCTTCCGGCAGGTGCTTTCTAGAATTTTCAAAGCTCGATAAAAGCGGCCGCTGTGCGGCACTGTCCGATACTCTGAACAGTGACTGCGCGAGAGACTGATCTCTGTAAGAGACGCTACAAACGAAACTACATTTTCCGTGTAATTGTACGTGCTGTATATTCTCAAGGTGTTAGTGTAAAGCAAGATATTTTGCTAATCTTTTGTGTATCAGTATTTAATTTTGCGTGATCAAATACACAATACGAAGATGCCGGAAGACGTCACCATGGTTGGTGCCGGTGAAGTCGAAACCTTCGCTTTCCAGGCTGAAATTGCACAATTAATGAGTTTGATCATTAACACTTTCTATTCCAACAAAGAAATATTTATTCGTGAATTGATTTCAAACGCATCTGATGTAAGTAAAATTTATTTCAATATTTCATTACATTACGTAAATTTTCTACGAAATTATTAAATAATTTCGTATCGCGTTGAGAAAAAATTGAAGTTACATTTTTATTTTGTATGTGCAGGCGTTAGACAAAATTCGTTATGAATCACTCACGGATCCGTCTAAACTGGATACATGTAAGGAATTGTTTATTAAGATCATTCCTGATAAAAATGATCATACCTTGACCATTCTCGACTCGTAAGTATTAATTTTCTAAATATTTTTCAAGTACTCTAAAACTTCATTCTATTTAATTAGAGCCACCCATGTTAATTCTCTATTGAATTTATGTACAAAATATAAATTTTTCTTATTATTACATTATGTAAAATTAGTACAAAAATTTTTATTTTCAAAAGTACCCTTTATGTTAGAAACAAAAATTAATAATAGACTCTTCTTTTTATAGTGGCATTGGTATGACAAAGGCTGATTTGGTAAACAACTTAGGTACCATTGCTAAATCTGGTACAAAAGCATTTATGGAAGCTCTTCAGGCTGGTGCTGATATTTCCATGATTGGTCAGTTTGGTGTAGGCTTCTACTCTGCTTACCTTGTAGCAGATAAAGTAGTTGTTATATCAAAACACAATGATGATGAACAATATGTATGGGAGTCTTCTGCTGGTGGTTCTTTCACTGTCCGTCCTGATAATGGAGAGCCAATTGGAAGGGGTACTAAAATTATTTTGCACATCAAAGAAGATCAAACTGAATACTTGGAGGAGTCTAAAATCAAAGAAATTGTTAAGAAGCATTCTCAATTTATTGGATACCCAATTAAGCTTGTTATTGAGAAAGAAAGGGACAAGGAATTAAGTGAAGATGAAGAAGAAGAAGAAGTAGTAGAGGAAGGAGAGGCTGAAAGTACAAGTAAACTTAAGATTGAAGAAGTTGAAGATAAAGAAGAGAAACCTAAAGATGAAAAGAAGAAGAAAAAGACTATTAAAGAAAAATATACTGAAGATGAGGAGTTGAACAAGACAAAACCTATCTGGACAAGAAATCCTGATGATATTTCTCAAGAAGAATATGGTGAATTTTACAAAAGTTTAACCAATGATTGGGAAGATCATTTAGCTGTCAAACATTTCTCAGTAGAAGGACAATTGGAATTCCGTGCATTGCTTTTCATTCCACGACGTGCACCCTTTGATCTGTTTGAGAATAAAAAGAAAAAGAACAATATCAAGTTGTATGTACGTAGAGTCTTCATTATGGACAATTGTGAAGATCTTATTCCAGAATATCTTAACTTCATTAAGGGAGTTGTGGATAGTGAAGATCTTCCATTGAATATTTCTCGTGAGATGTTACAACAGAATAAAATTCTCAAAGTCATTAGAAAGAATCTCGTCAAAAAATGTTTAGAACTTTTTGAAGAATTATCTGAGGATAAAGAAAGCTACAAAAAATGCTATGAACAATTTAACAAGAATATAAAGTTAGGTATTCATGAAGATAGTCAGAATAGGAAGAAACTTTCAGAATTGCTTAGATACCACACATCTGCATCTGGAGATGAAATGTGCTCACTGAAGGATTATGTTGGAAGAATGAAAGAAAATCAGAAACATATTTATTACATTACTGGTGAAAGCAAGGAACAAGTAGCAAATAGTTCATTTGTAGAAAGGGTTAAGAAGCGTGGTTTTGAAGTAGTATATATGACAGAACCCATTGATGAATATGTTGTACAGCAACTGAAGGAGTTTGATGGCAAACAATTGGTCTCTGTAACAAAAGAAGGTTTAGAACTTCCTGAAGATGAAGAAGAAAAGAAAAAGCGCGAAGAAGACAAAACCAAATTCGAGAATCTCTGCAAAGTTATGAAGGACATTTTAGATCAGAAAGTAGAAAAAGTTGTAGTATCAAATAGGTTGGTTGATTCTCCATGTTGTATTGTCACATCGCAATACGGATGGACCGCGAACATGGAAAGAATTATGAAAGCGCAAGCACTGCGAGATGCGTCCACTATGGGATACATGGCTGCAAAGAAACATTTAGAAATCAACCCAGATCATCCAATTATGGAAAACTTGAGGCAGAAAACTGAAGCAGATAAGCATGACAAGTCTGTAAAAGATTTGGTCATGCTTCTTTTCGAAACAGCTTTGTTATCCTCTGGCTTTGCTCTCGAAGATCCTCAAATACATGCTTCTAGAATATATAGGATGATTAAGCTTGGTCTTGGCTTCGATGATGATGACATACCAAATGTAGAAGATGAGAAAATGGATGCCGAAGTTCCTCCATTAGAAGAGGTAGAAGATGAAATATCTAGGATGGAAGAAGTAGATTAAGGCTTCTATTGTTTAAAGCTATTTAATTAAATCCAAAGACTTCTAGGATGTAGAAAGACTGTTACAAATTAATTCTACTTAAGTACTAAACAATTTTTTTTTGTCTTTCTATGTGTGACAGAATGGAGTGCCATGCTTACTCGAGTATTGCATAATGTGTGTACTACTTACTATCTCTGTATTTATTTGATAGATATGAGAAAGCAGTGGAGTTGATTCGTGCATTCCACGAAAAGCGCTCTTTAAATTAAGCCTGCCACTTGATTCTGTCTTTAAATTCTTTTTTACGATGTCACTTTCATACGTCTGCATTACCATTTTAATTTTTTTTTGCATTTGTACGATTTCATTTCGCACTTTCATCATTCCATTTTGAAATCGTCATGTAGTCAAATAAAAAAATTGAAATCGTTATGGAGTTTTGTGCGTAATAAAACAACCTTACGTATTAAAAAGTACCTCTAGTACATTTTTTAAATCCCATTTTAATTTTAATTAAAGAATCTTGAGTAATGTTCCGATGGTAAAAAATAAATTTATAATCCTTTAAATTCTTTTCATTTAAAAAATTTTCATTTAATGAAGTCGTAACTGACATAGAATAAAAATCCCTACTTTATTGATGTTGAAATTAGTAAGGATGTGGGTATACCTATGTATATTTTTAAATACTGACGTCACAACGCGTTGATGGTAATTATCGATCTAGATGCATTCACCACGCATACTGAATGGATTCATAAACCGTTTATTAAGTACGCATAGCAATCTTTTTAATATGATAGGTTTACAGTAAATGTAAAAAGCTAATTAGAGTAATATCAAGTAAGAAAGACTATTTATATATATCTTTAACAATATAATAGTATTAATAATAAACATTATACTTGTCTATATAAAAATAAATAATGAGATGTTTATTAATTATAAATTTTGTAAAATTAACGATACTTCATTCTACCGATTGAACTATTGGTGTAGGTGACCGATAGAGTGCGACACTGCAGATTGTCGAAGTGTTGCGTGTTGCCACATCACCACCAAATCAAACGTACTTGGACGATGTTTCTGTGTAGATTGCGCTCGTGCCGACTCCTCCACAATACGTGGAAAGCGTGAGTTTCTCCACTTCGATTCAACATGTCAAATTTTTCTTGAATTTCTAACGAATATTCACGAAAGAAGCAAAAACCAGCGTGTAGATAATCTTCTGTTTACCGAATAGCTTTTGCGACACGGTATAGACTGAGAAATTATAGATTTTTTCGTGGTGCTTAACGTGGTAAACGAACGACACGATGAGCGCACCCCAGGGGCAAGTGAAACATAGAAACGGTGTAGTAAAACAGGTAAGGTATTAAAATTTTATGGCAATCAGTTCATTACGAAATTTTTTATTCGAATGTAAATACGATATATGTGATTACTGTCATATATAACCTCATATTTTGACATGTGTGTGGTCATGATCGACACGGTGCAAATAATTGGTACCGACAACATATGGTCCTTGTATCGCAGTAATTTAATTTTATTTACTATTTCCTTTTAATAGCAAATTATTAATTGTCATTTGGATGTTTAGGTTGTCCCGGATATATTGTACGTAATAAAGAAATATCATTTATCTGTTTAGTATGTTTTTTATTTTATATCACTGTATTCTAATAAATCTCTAGTAAAACTTGATTTTACTTTCCTAAACTTCTATGAAAAATACAATATTACATTGTACTATTCTACTATTGTACACAATGCTATATTGAAAATTAAAAATAGATTTGATTACATCTTTTTTTGATGTGGAATGTTATATTTGAAGGTTATTTCGGGGGATACCATTGTTATCCGTGGCCAACCTATAGGTGGTCCTCCTCCAGAAGCTACTGTTATTCTTTGTAATATTACTGCTCCAAAATTAGAACGATGGAAAGGGAATGATAGGTATATTTAATTATTTATTATATCTTGAATTTGTTGAATTGGTTTATTACATTATTTATTATTAAATATACCACCAACTTTTATTTTCAGTATGGACGAAAATAAAGATGAACCATATGCTTGGGAAGCTAGAGAATTTTTACGCAAGAAACTCATTGGTCAGGATGTAGCTTTTGTTACAGAAAAATCAGTTAATACAAATAGATCTTATGGTACAGTATGGTTAGGAAAAGGTACATATTTTCATATAAATTTATTTATTTATCATCTGTTATATATGATTATATAAAATTAGTTTATTAAACTTTTTGATAACAATAGATAGAAATGGAGAAAATGTGATTGAAACACTGGTGTCTGAGGGTTTAGTAACAGTAAAAAAAGATACTAGAAATCCTAGTCCTGAACAAACACGATTAATTGAATTGGAAAATGCAGCTAAAGCAGCTAAAAAAGGGAAATGGTCAGAATCACCAAGTTCTGAACATATACGAGATGTAAAGTGGGCTGTAGATGATCCACGCAAATTGGTTGAGAAATTTGGAAAGAAGCCAGTGAAAGCAATTATTGAATTTGTATTTGATGGATCCACAGTGAAAGCACTTTTATTACCTGATTTTTACAATATAGTATTAATGATATCGGGTGTTCGTTGTCCTGGATGGCCAAATGGAAGGCGTGAGAATTCAGTAGGTGATCCCTATGCAGATGAAGCAAGATATTTTGTAGAATCCCGTCTTCTACATAGAGACGTTGAAGTAGTACTTGAATCTGTTAATAATAACAATTTCATTGGCAGCATTCTTCATCCAAAAGGTTACTAGTTTAGAACAAATTAATGAAATCAAATTTTGTTATAATTATTTGAATAAGTAATCATTAATTTTGTAATATTCAATAGGAAATATTGCTGAAATTTTGTTGAGCCAAGGTTTTGCTAAATGCCAGGATTGGTCAATTAATAATAGCAGGGCTGGAGCAGAGAAACTGTATCTTGCAGAAAAAGCTGCAAAAGAAGCACGTTTACGTTTATGGAAAGATTACAAACCATCAGGACCACAAATAGAATTTACTGGTACTATTGTTGAAATTGTCAATGCTGATGCACTTATAATTAGGACACAAAATGGAGAAAACAAGAAAGTGTTTTTGAGCAGTATTCGACCACCGTCCAGAGAAAAAAAAGCTAATGAAGAACCTAATAATGCAACTAGGAAAGATTTTAAACCGCTTTATGATATTCCATGGATGTTAGAAGCTCGCGAGTTTTTACGTGAAAAATTTATCAGGAAAAATGTAAAAGTTGTGGTTGATTATACTCAACCTGCTAGGGATAATTTCCCAGAAAAATTATGTTGCACTGTTACTTGCGGTAAAACGTACGTTATTATATTTTTTAATCATTTTTCAATTATTTTTATTAGTTGCTTTATGTAATTTAAATATTTCTTTAGGAACATCGCTGAAGCTTTGGTTGCACGAGGTTTAGCAAGAGTTATCAAATATAGGCAAAATGATGATCAGCGTTCATCTCACTATAACTTATTGCAAGTTGCAGAAAGCAAAGCAGAAAAATCTCAACATGGCTTACATGCAAAAAAAGATATTCCTGTACATAGATTAGTAGATCTTTCGAATGATCCGTCAAAGGCAAAAGCATTTTTAACGTCTCTTAAAAGAGCACAGGGCATTAAAGCTGTAGTTGAATTTGTAACAAGTGGTTCTCGTTTAAAATTATTTTTGCCGAAAGAAGATCAACTTATTACATTTGTTTTGGCTGGTATAAGAACTCCACGTTGTCAAAGATCATTGCCAGGTGGTGGTATTGTTAAAGCAGATGAATATGGTGAGAAAGCACTAGCCTTCACTAGGGAACATTGTTTCCAAAGGGATGTAGAAATAAAAATTGAAAGTACAGAAACTAAGGGAAGTGGATTTATTGGATGGTTAATAGTAAATGATATCAACATGTCTGTTACTCTTGTTGAAGAAGGTCTCGCAGAAGTAGTTACTTTCCCTGATTTTGGTGAATTAACAAGAATGCTTAAAGCTGCAGAAGAACGTGCCAAAACAAAGAAATTAAATGTATGTAGACTGTGGACTTACAATAGTATCATCATAAAATAAAATTGCAATTTGTTGGTATTAATTGTTATCTTTGTATGTTACAGATGTGGAAGAATTATGTAGAAGTACAAGTTGAGAATGAAAAAAACGAAAGTGATAAAGAAATTGTAGAAAGAAAGATTGACTATCAAGAAGTAGTACTATCTGAAGTTACTGAAGATCTTCATTTTTACACACAAAGTGTTGATCAACGTAGTATGTTGGAAAATCTACTTCTGCAATTGCGTCAAGAACTGGCATCTAATCCTCCACTTCCGGGTGCTTACAAACCCGCTAGAGGTGAATTAGCGGTTGCTAAATTTACTGGTGATGATCAGTGGTATCGTGTAAAGATAGAAAAAATTTCTGGTACAAATGTCAGTGTATTTTATATTGACTATGGTAATAGAGAAACAGTTAATGTCACAAGAGTTGCCGATTTACCGTCAAGATTTGCTAATGATAAACCTTATGCCTATGAACGTGTTCTTGCTTGTGTTGCACTTCCAAATGATGTAAGTGTTCTTATAAGAAAAATGTATATTTAAAAATTTTATGAGATATGTTATAATTTCTTATTTATTAATATTCATAGAATGATGACAAAAAGGCAGCAGTTGAAATCTTTAAGGAAGATGTAATGGATAAAATTTTATTGTTGAATACAGAATATAAACTAAACAATAATGTTACTGCTGTAACTTTAGTTGATTCTTCTACTAATGAGGATATCGCGAAAGGACTCATTTCTGATGGATTATTACTTGTTCAGAATCAACGTGACAGAAGACTCACTAAATTGGTAAATTAATGCTTTGTGTTATTATATATTTTTATATTTATCTACCTCAGGACCTCATATTACATACATACAATTATTGTCTTATTAATTCACTCTAGATTGAGGAATATAAGAAAGCAGAAGAAGATGCGAAGCATAGTCGACGTAATATTTGGAGATATGGTGATATACGAGCAGATGATGAAAAAGAATTTGGATTGTAAAGAATAAAATGCTCAAGGACTGGTTAAAAAGTGATCAATACAGGGAAAAAAGACAAGTTATGAACTGCATAATAATTATGTAAGAACCCATTGCATAGATTAATGAGAAATAATAAATGTCCATATGAGAGTTATATGTTGCATTGATTATGATGCAGTTATATTTCATTACATAAAAATATGAATTGTACATAACAATTTCAGTAATTCTTGTAATTTTTGAATGAACCACTGGCATAATATATTGCATAATATATTGTCATCAATTATTATTTGTGTTACAGTGTAAAATTTTGTTATCAATGAACTTCAAGAATTCCATGTATAACTATTTTAAAATTTTCATGATTTATGTGCAATTTATTTTTAATTATATGCATTATAATTGTGAAAAAAAGATTTTTTTTTAAGTCATATAAGAATTATGTGAAAGAATATAAAGTCCATAATTGTATATTTTGTCAAACATACTCATTTAAGTATGTAAGAATTTATATTAAGAAAGTATACTATATTTTAATTAAAACTAGCATCGGTAGATCATTGGTCAAACAGCTTCGTTATACTTTACAAAGTAAATATAAAGATATTTGCCCCTAGATTGAAGTCAGGGTTACTTTTTAAAACTTTTCGCGGATTTATTTTTTTAAACAATCAAATATTCATTACATACATCATTCTTCTTTTTTGTTTTTTTCTTCTTTTTTTTATTATTCTTTAATATTATTACAAGCTATACTCACTATTTTTTTCATTAATACATGTACACATAACTTTAAAAAACAGGGGAGGGGGGAAATATTGACGATTTTAGTAGTAAAATCAAAGAGTATTTTTTTCCTAGAACCTGAAATAATTCATGAATAAAAATACATTGCTTTGAATATACATTTGTAAAAAATGATAGAAACAATAAACATATGTGTTTAGGACATAGAGTTTTTGAAAAATTTGAAATATTCAATTTATGTGCTTAAATAAATATTACGTTGTTGATAACTTTATATACATAATTCTACATCCTAAGAATTTATAGACTTACTGGTGTAAAAACACTTTTGGTTTAATGCTTTATTAAAATGAATATATTGCTGAAATGTATAATCAGATACAGAAAAGGCAGAAATAATATATACATGTGTGTGTGCGCGCGCGCGCGTGCACACACTCTCTCTCTCCCCCCCCCCCC